GACTGATGGATCAACAGACAGGAACCTGGGATCAGGATATTCTAACTGATATTTTTGACCCTGAGGATGTAGAGCGAATTTTAAAAATACCTGTGTCACCAGATTATGAGGATTTGTGGTATTGGTATGGGGACCCAAAAGGAGAATATTCGGTTAAAAGTGGCTATAGAACAATAGTAGGTAACTACACCCAAGCGGTTGGAACCTTTGATAAATGGAAAATATTATGGAAGCTTAAAGCACCCCCCCCCCCCCCCCCCCCCCCCCCAAAGTGGAAAACATTTTTGTGGAGAGCTCTAAATGATATTTTGCCCACTACAAAGAACCTACTTATAAAGAGAGTTGATATTGATCCAACATCTGCCATGTGTGGGATTGGGCATGAAGATATTGTGCATTCTTTGATCACATGTGATTATTCGACAAACATTTGAGCACAATCCCACCTTCCAATCCCCAATAGTGTCACAAATATTTTCAGTGATTGGTTTAATGATTTGATGAATATTTTAGATAATGATGGAATTATTTATGCAGTGGCACTTTTATATTATATTTGGCGTGCAAGGAATGGGGCTGTATGGGATGCGACCTTGCCCAGGCCTCGGAAGATAATTGCAATGGCATCATCAGCTGTGAATGCTTGGAAAGTAACCCATCCCGGTCTGTGTCCGCCGGCCACCTCCGCGGCATCAAGCAGCCGGACTGCTCCCGTGGTGGACAGCCACACTGCTACGGCGGTCCCTTCGGCAACAACCAATACTATTGCTGTGCCGACTACACCACAGCTGCCAACGCCGAACATGGTACACCAAGCCACGCAATACATGAGGGATCAATGTTACTTCGATGCGGCGTACGACCCACAGACAAACAAAGCAGCGGTGGGAGCCATTATTCTAAATTGGCAAGGACATTATGTTTCGGCTATGACTGCCCCTATGATAGACTGTTTTTCGGCCCTAATGGCGGAGGCCTTTGCGTGCAAGGAAGTTTTGTCGTGGCTAAGAAGTCGCGAAATAAAGTCTATCGAGCTCTTCACGGATTGTTTGGTGCTTCAACAATATTTATCATCTATGACACACTCGTCAAGATCGTACTTGGGTTATGCCATTGATAGTTGCAGGACTAGTATATTATCTTTTGATTATTGTTTACTTCATTATGTTCCTAGACTAGATAATTATTTAGCTCATACTCTAGAATCTACTGCAATTACTCAGTCAACTAGTATGTACTCGGACTATGATCCACCAGCATCTATTTCTGCATATTTTGAATAAATGTCGTACAGGCTCCTTTCAAAAAAAAAAAATAATAAGGTGGAGATAAAGTAGAAATTCAAATTACATTATTTGGTATGTAGGAATAAGATACATGAAATTGAATGGAAATAAGTGATATAATGATTGAAATGTCCTTATGTAACAACAACAATAACAACAACAACAACAACACAACAACAACAACAACAACAACAATAATAATAATAATAATAATAATAATTATTATTATTATTATTATTATTATTATTATTATTATTATTATTATTATTAATCTTTCTGTGTAACTTAACCGGTCATGCAATGATGAATATTAGTGTAGGCCAACTTGACAGTAGAAGGGCAAAAATGTCCTGACAATTAATTTTTTTTTCAATTCAACACTGAATTAGAATTCTTAGAATCTTTAGGGGAGGTCTATGAATTCTAATTCAGCAAATTGAGGGAATTACAATTCCCTCCAACCAAACACTGTAATTGGGGAGCTTAAAGAATTGTTTTGTAATTGCAATTCAATTCATGTCAACCAAACAAGCTAGAGTGGCATTTTAGGAATGGAAATTGATAGAATCATTTTAAATGTGTAAAAATAATAGATTGTTGAATTTGTTATTTCTCAAATTAGGAGGGGCTTAATATAATTAAACAATCAATCAACTTCATGTTAGATAATAAAACTTTTATAACAAGAAGTATATGTAACTTTGAAAATTTTCTCGTACAATATCGTCATCTTTGGTCGTTGTTCAACTGTTGAGGGAAATTGGCATCACATTTCCTAAAAGAAGACAAATAAATTTGAAGCAATCGTGATGAGTGAGCATATCTTTGGAAAGGTCAATTCCCTTGCCGTATTAAATCGAACCTATGACCTCTCATTTGGAAGAAGCACTTCATGTCATTAGAGCACAAGATCAATAATAAATATTATATCCTTAAATAATTCTAAAAGAAAATCATATTCTTATGATGTGTCATGCTTCGCTTTGCTTAATAAAAAAAAAAAAAAAATGAATCATGATCTTTTGAGAAAAATGAATCATAATTTTTATTCATTCAATAAAATTTAAACATTTAACGGGAATTATACTTTATGGAGTTCATCTACTATTTTTCATCTAGTAGAGGTTAGGATAGTCAATAATGATGGAGCTCGTGCTCATATGTCATATCCCAACCATAATCAAATCCCTAGTTGCTCACATGGCTGCAAATCACCAATGTCATTTACCATTTAGCCCGCAACTGTAGGTAAGGTTGAGATACATATTCCTCCTATTTCTATGCCCTCACTCTATGTTTTAGTGTTCCAAAAACAGTCTAACGAATTGAAACTATGAATTATATCCGTAATATAGTAGTTAAATTATGTTTATTTTGCCTGCAATTTCTTTGATTTTACTTGGATGTCATTCATTGTATAAAACTTTCAAGAATGATGGCCATTGTTTATTAAAGCTCTAAACTCTTTCCTCAAGAAATAAACAACAAAGGTATATCATATATACAATATTCGTCATTGTGTATGATGATATTGATGTAGATTAATATGTTATATGAATAATTTATGATAATAATTTTTTGGGAAAATAATACTTTTCACCTTGAATTATATGTTTATAGCAATTTTGTCCCATTAATTATTCATGTATCTACTTAACCCCATCAATTATTTTAAAGTCACGATTTTCCGATTTTTATTACATGGACATTTTTACCCTTAAAATAAATACAGAACATATATTTCATTTATTTTTCTTCTCCAACAAATTATTGCGTATACATGAGAATCAGAATAAAAGCAAAAAATAACAGACATCATAATATTATAATTATAATTTTAAACTAATGTTGGTAACAGAATTAAGACTTAAACACAAACAATTCATCAATGTTAATTTAGCATTAATGAATTATTTGTGTTTAAGTCTTTACTTGGATGAACTAAAAAATTATAATTAGCAACTCTTTTTTTCATTTATTTTAATTCTCACATATAAATAATAATTTGTTGAAGAAGAGAAATAAATAAAATACTTATTTTACTTTTATTTTAAGGATAAAAATATCCATTTTTACATAAGAGAGAAAAATTATTACTTTGAAAAATAATTGACGGGCTAATGTGCACACATGAATAATTTAAAAGAAAAAAAAAAGGCTATAAATATTTTTTTTTTTTTGGGGGAGGGGTGGGGGGTGTATTTTTCCTAAATTTTTCATTGTTCCAAAAATCCATCCCTTGATGACAAAGCTCTTGCATGTACGACTAGACAAACTATGTTATGGGACAAGTGGTAGGACCAAATTGCATTACCACATGTGACATTTATGCAATTATTAGTACGGCCTTATCATCTTGCTTTCCAGACAATCCTATAATTAAGGCACGAGCTCAAATATTCAAAAGAAAATACAAAAGCAAAATCACTTCTTGTAGTCTTCTCAAACTGCATTATCCTTCCGTCCTTATCAAGTATCGTGTCATCAACATATAATTGATGTTATCTACACAGATCATTTCAAGAATATATTGGAATATTTGAGAGATAATGGGGCAGGGGGACACAAATAGCAATCATTATAAGTTACCATGATCCAAAAACACATAAAATACATTACTTTAATTCATAAAATACACTATTGTAACACATAAAAGTATATTATTCTAACTTAGACATTAACTTACCTCAAAAATTTCATTATTCTAACACAAAAAATACATTAATCTAACACATAAAGTGATACATAAAGTACATATTCTAACACATAAAATACATACATTATTTTACCCTAAAATGTTCATTATTCTAACACACGCGTTGATGAGGTATGGACCCCAGTGGGCTAGGGGCCCAAAAGGAAAAGTAAACAAGCAAGTTGGGCTTCAAAAAATTGGGCTAGAAATAAAGACCCATTGATCCAGAGAAGGAACGGGCTAAGTCGAAGGACTCGGCCTGTAAACGGTCGAGTCCTAACAGTCCAATAGTTATGCTGTGCAATTGGTGCACATGGTTGCAAAACGACGTCATTTTGACTAAAAATGCATGTCTTTTTTTTTTTTTAACAAAAAAAAAAAAAAAATCAATTTCAATTCCCCTCAACAGCATTATTGTGAATATATAGTTATGAATTTGTAGATATATAGTTATGAATTTATGGATATTTAGTTCATTCATTGAAGATATTCAGTTCATTCATTGTGGATGTTTAATTCATTCATCGTAGATATTTAGTTCCTTCATTGTGGATATTTAGTTCATTCATTCTGGATTTTGTGTTATTCATTCACTGTGAATATATAGTTATGAATTTGTGGATATATAGTTATGAACTTGTGGATATATAGTTATGAACTTGTGGATATATAATCCAAATTATGCAAAAAAAAAAAAAAAAAAAAAAATGCTATTGCCAGGAATCGAATCTGAATTTTTTTTTTAAGTGGGACGCGCGTTTTTAATCAAAACGACGTCGTTTTTACAACCGGGTGCATAGCCTAATTTGCGCTGACAGTCGGTCTCAATAGGAGTCGGTCGGTCCCAGTGACCGTTGCTTCCTTAAAGGTGCATCATGAATGACAGTCAAACCTTGCCGTTGGAGCGGATGAGTAACACAGGAGGCAACGGCCACTGGCCTTAATTCTCATTCATTGGCATTTAATTACCCATTCAAAGCTTTGTAAACTTAGCACCTATAAATAGGACTTCAAAGACATTTGGAGGCAATTCAAGAAATTCTGATACACTTAAGGCACCATTTCAAAGCATTCTTAGTACTATCCTTCTTAGGCATTACATTTTTCACCTCACTTTTGCAATATACTTTCCGGTGAATCCACCAACTTCCGGTTGTGTTGGACCTCCGTGGGCATCTCAAAAGTCCTAAACCAACACGTGTGAAGCGAGAAGTTTTTTTTAAACATCAAAACGAAGTCGTTTTAGACCGTGGCCCACACAGCTGTATAATTTGCCCACAAATAGCCACATGATAAACGAATGAATATGCTTAATTATCAGTCGGACCCACCACAAAAAAGGAGCGGCCAGTATAATAAGATCGCATTTATGCAATGCAATAATCTATACAAATGATTTAATAACATCAGGCATCATGTGTTAAAATTGAATTTTGTTTCTCGTTATTTATGAGCGTACCCGTGAAGGTGTTGGTGGCATCTGTAACACTCCCATTCGCAACCTCCAAATCAACAGCAGATTTAGCTTGCACAAGACTGTCTAGGAAGTCCATCACAATGGGGTCGGTCCAGGGAGCTCCGGTTGGGGCATCAGAACCTGCCACCCATCCAAGATGGCCACCTTGAGGTGTGACTATCAGCAAACAATTTGGGTTTTCCTGGGCAGATGATAATATTAGGACATGGAGAGAGACTCACAGAATTTCATATGTTGTGGCTCATCTACTGATAACATACAATATAGCACCACCTAGTGCTGTGCTGCATAACAATTCTACTTGAATCCAGAGATTCTCTGTTGGTTTGGTGTAAATTCAGTGTGTGAGAAAGTTTAGAATTCAATCATATCCAGGACAAAGTCATCTCCCCGAATAATAAAATGCTATAGCAGATCAGGAAAAAATAAAATAAAAACCTCAATATCCTTTCGAGGGATTCCTCTTGATGGAGCAATTGGATCATTTGCAGCCTGCAAGCCCAAAGTTAGCATTAAGACAAATACTTCAAGAAGATCACATTCACCAGCAAGAGCCATAAAGATGACTATCACAACGGTTGAATATACAAATTACAAATGAATCTTTGTTACTCTGCTCAGATAGATTAAGTAAGCAAATACGAGCAGTACTTGCATATATTCAGTAGGTGGTAAAGAGATGATGCATTTATGTATTCAGTAGGTGGAAAAGAGAGGATGGTTGTTTTCTCTTGGTACATGTTTATGATGGAACTATGCCATTTGCTATTTCACAGGCTATAAAGAGCAACAAGAATTTGAGTTTTAATAAAAAGAAAGGATCATGCCTGGATGCAAAGTAAAGGAATGCAGACACTTTTAATTGAATCTGAGCTACTTGAGTTTGAATAATAATCATCCGCTGACTTAAATCCAAATGAAACTGCAAGCATAAAAAGAAGCATAAGCATTTCACGCAGGAAATTTTTCGTATAGGAGACAGCATACAAACCTCTTGTTATTCCTTCATCAAATTCTTTGACAGTTTTGGCATTAGCAGCTAATGGGATATTATATTCACCTCCAATATCTTCAAATAAAAGAGCATGCCTAAAAAGGCAAGAATCCAGTTAAACACGTCAATGTTGATTCATATCAACAGGTATAAAGAAAAACCACAAATCTCAGTTACTTTTTGAAAATTTTGCAGAGAGCATTTGCTAGTGCTTTGTCATAAACAATGTTAAAGCCCTTACGGAAGTCTTCATCTGCAATAGGCAAGTTGAAAGGATTGCACAAGGACACAGCACCGGACAGAGAGCAAGAATGAGATTCCTGAAATGACATGAGAAAGTCAAAGAAGACAAAAGTTGGATTACCAGAGTAGGAACTATAAATGGAATAAATAAATATAATCTGAAGGTCAAATAGTAAGGATATAAAATAACTTTTTAAGTGCAGGAAAAGTTGGGTTTTGTAATGTTTCAGTTATAGAAGATACAACTGAATGACTAATACTAGTTTATCAGCTGATTTATCCATGAATTACCTTAACAGGATGAAAGATCAACTTTAAAGAAAATTTAAATACAAAGTTAAGGCCTAAGGGCAAAACAAACTAAGATACCTGTCCAAGGTATCGAACGAGAATATTTGCTCCAAGAGACCATCCCACAGCATATAAGTTGGCATTTGGATAGCGACTACCAACATGTGCCACCACTTCATAAATATCACCAAGAAATGAAGCTGAATAAAACTGCATAACATAGACGTAAATCAGATGTGTTTAACTTTTTCATCATATGCCGAAAAACAACTCTATTTAAAAATAAAGACACTCCAAACATAACTATCAACTAAATTGTTTTTTAATATAGAAGTGAATATGTGATTCAGTTTAGTATTTAATTATAGAAGTCCAAGATTAACAATTAGTATGGTGATCAGTATGATTGAAAACAACCTATTGAAAAACTTGAGCATTCTTGAAATGGATTCTCATGTTAGAATGCAGAACAAGATAGAGTAATATTCTGAAAACAAAAAGTTGCACAATTATATACAGTATGCCTTGTTGATAGGTGAGACTTTTTTTCCACTGCATTTGCCATCATGTGGTAACAACAATAGAGTGTGCCACTAGGTCCTTTATAGAGTGTTTCACACTAAGCTTTTCAACCTTAATGGATACAATGAAGAAATACTGTTGTGAAAGACACCCAAGAAATTCCACTGGATACAGACTCTCTCACTTTAGTTCACTCTCAATCTCACAGACTTTGGTAATGTTCTTTTCCTCTCAACTCCACCACAGCCTTGTCATGTTGTCCAAAAAAGAGAAGCAAGATAGTTTATTTTAATCAAGGTATACCATCTTCAATTCATTCTTTCCACAGTGTTTACTTCTATTCCCTAGCACCTTTTTATATATATAAAGTCCCTCCCAAAGTAATTCTTATTTGCCTAAGAGCCTACTTTAGTTATCATTAGGTCTAATACTTGTTTCAAACCCTTTATCATTGAGCTTGAAGAGTTTGGGTCATAACTTAACAAAGGGGAACTAATCAATTGTATCAGAACCAGTAACATTTGTCAAGAGAGACATAGAGCTTCACTAAGATCTTAAAAGTAGAATGGGAAGGTAAAAAAAAAAAAAAAAAGAAAAAAGGCATCATATGCCTGACAATTCAAGAACTCATGTTTGACAGTGTGGTCTTGCTAATGAAAATGACAACTGATCATTCAACATCTTTCTTTATAAAATAGTACAAGAATAACAAGCAAAAGTATCAACTGCCCATTGTAGATCGCAAAGGGAAGGGCAAAATGCATGACAAACTGAGAAGTAAGAACTGTATGACTGATGAAGTAACTGAATTGATGAACATCCTATTCCTTGACTTTCTCCAGATGCAGCTTCTTTTCTTCTTCAGTCATGAAAGCAGTAATAGGAAACGATCTTCCAATGCCCATTGGAGTCTTGAAGTAGATTTTCTTTTGAGCTGGATCCTCAAAGTTCATTTCAACTATTGGCACCCAAATAAGAAGTTGCTTGCTCTTAACACCAGTCATCCTTTTCATCTTAGATTTCTCTACATAGGCAGTCACCTCAGCAGCATAGCTGACAAGGGTTTTAGTCCCTTCAAAGTAATGATTATATGGGGCCTTTTGCTTCATCCACACAAACCCAGTTTCACGAACATACCCACATTCTTCAAGGTCTTTCAGGGGAAGAACACCTTTGGGAAATCCCAACTCATGAAGGAGCTCAACAGAATGGCGGAAGCAATCTTCAGAGCCATAGATAATCTCCGCTCCTGCTCGCTCATCTTCACATGATTTCTGAACAGTAGCCATTCTACCACAAAAATCTAATAAAAAAGTAGGATTTGAATTGGTGTGGCATTGAAGTGTCACAATGCAGGGTTTAAATATAGAGACTGGGAAGGAAATTTCTATGGTTGTTGAATGGGAGTTGAGCTGCAATTGTTTGGTTGGAACTTGGAAGGGTTGTTCACTTGTTTACCTAACATGTGAATAAGCAAGATTATAACACAGCCTCACCTTCTCCATCTTTCAATCATTGAATTCCCACCATTAAATCTCGAATTTCTTAACCTATAATCCTATTAGCTTACATCAATGTAAAACAAACCGCAGTACCGCACTGAAATGCGTCTGCTAATCTTTAATAGTTCTCACCGAAACTTTGGAAGGTCAAAAACGCAAGACCAATTGCAATTCAAAATCGCATTGAGAGAGACTTTAATTCACCGAATGCGGCGATATGAATAAAAGAGAAACTAAAACAAAATATTAATTTCTAGCAAAATAGGTAGAGACAATTTCTGAGTACCTGAGCAGTGGTGACAGGACTATTTCCACAGCCTCTGCTATTGAAGACTACAACTCGCCAACCTTTAGTTCTAGCTCTCACCAGCATATGCCTAACGTAAGTGTCCTGGCTCCCCCCAGTCAGGCCTGGCTGCAACGTTGCCTTGTTAGCACACTTCTAAACACGGTCCATAGCGTGATTAAGATGACATACCAGTAGGATGAGCACAGGAGAATCCGGCGGCAGGCGGCGGTCGTCTCCAGCAACCCAGTCTAGGGCGACGGAACCATCGTCCTTGGTGCGCAGACACTCTCGCCGAAGTCTGAGGTCGGGGAGGGACCGGAAGAAGGCCGCGAAAATTGTCTCCGCGTGGCGATTCCAACCGATTATAGGGTATGGATGATAGGGACTTTGAAGGGATTTCAATGCGGGAAGGAAAGCATCTCGAGCTCCGCCGACGACTTCCAGTGAGGGGTGAGGAATGAGGTTGTCAGACATTAAGCGCGTTTTGGCTGCGACGGCGCCGGGAGCTGTGCTGCAGCTTCTAACACGGAAAACAGAGACTAATGGCCGGAGAGAGAAGGGACGAAAGGAGGAGGAAACAGGGGCCACGGCGGAGCCTATGGAGGCTCTAGCCATTTGCAGCTTGAAGATGAATGGTTGAAGCCAGAAGGAAGAAGCAAATAATATCCAAAATAAAATATGCAGTATTTTGGGAGTACTGTACAATGCCAGTTTACCAAAGAGAGAATTTGTGTAATTTTCTATAAAATAATTTTTTTTTAAACTAGATATATATATTAAAAAAAAAACATGTTTACTAATAAAGTTTTTCATTGTATTCAAAATAAAAATAAAGTTTTTCATTCTGAAAAGTAAAAGATATTTTCAGTTTTTTAAAAGAATTGGTGAAATTTTAATAATTGTTCTCTAGATGAAAAATATAATTATTGGCCACTTATTTGACTGTGTATCAAACTCTCATCTTTATCTACTTACATATTTATTCATTATTAAGATTACATTCATTATCACTCTCTTTTATTTATTACCATCTTTTATCATTTCTATCTACTGACATTTCTATCTACAAATCTAATAAGTGATAAAGTACATGATGCAGTGGTGCAGCCTATCAATAGATGAGGAATGCACCTCTGAGGGCTATTTTTGTCCTTTCCTATTCTTGGTAGTTATAACTGCTCTTTCCCTTCTTATTTGTATATAAGCTCATATTGAGGTTACTTCTTTTCAGTTCTATAATTTCTCCTCTCTTACTTGCCTAAAACTCTCAAAGGCTTTGCTTAATAATATGATTGATTTCATGCATGATCTGAGCTAGTTTATCATGGTATCAGAGCACCGGAGCTACGCCGCGGTGGTGATATCGGAAAATCAAAACAACAACAACGGAGGCTCAACAGAACAAGCCGGAGCCGGAGCTTCTTCGAGTCAGAATCCAATGAATGCTGATCATGCACAGGAGTTCGACGATCCTTGGTATCTTCACATTATGAAAAATCGTAATTTGATTCTCGTCTTTCCGCGTTTGTCTGAAGTCAACTATGCTTCATGGAGTCGATCAATGAGGATCGCTCTCGAAGTGAAGAACAAGTATGGATTTGTCGATGGATCCATTGTCAGACCTGAGGAAACTGATCGAAGATTTGCTGTTTGGAAAAGGTGCAACAACATTGTCTGCTCGTGGATCCTCAAGTCCCTCAGCTCCACGATTGCAGAAGGAGTCCTGTACCTTGAAGCTGCATCAGATCTGTGGAATACTCTTAAGAAGAGATATTCTCAAGTAGACTCACACAGAATTGCTGAGCTACAGAATGAGATCTATCGATGCTTACAAGGTAACCTCTCAATCAACGAGTATTTTACTAAAAGCAATGGTTTATGGATGCAGATGAATGCTATGAGACCAATTCCTGATTGTGAATGTATTCCTAAATGTTCTTGCACCTTAGTAAGTAAGATCCAGAAGGAAAAAGAAGAGGATCAAATTATTAGGTTTTTAGAAGGCCTAAGTGAAGAGTATGAGAGTATTAAATCTGCAATCCTTGTTATGTAACATATTCCTGCCATTGAGAAAGTGTTGTGTATGGCTTTAAAAATGGAAAGGAAACTTAAAAACTCTTTCAGTCAAAAGAACAATGATATGATTCAAGCCAATGTTCTCCAAAATGGTCAAGATCAATATGAAGAAGGACAACCTATGGTGGCAGTCTCAGCTCTAAACAGTAAGAAAAAGTACTGATGTTATCACATCTTTGCTTGTTATTATAGTTATTTTGAATCATCTCAGTATTTAAGTTCTTTAATTTTGCTTATTTATTACATATTTTCCTTGCTATTATCATTTAATTATGGTTCACACTTGTTTTGAATGTTTTACGGTGTTTGTTAGTGTTTTTGAACCATTGTAGGTCAATTCTATGAGCAAGGGAAGTTCAAGGATGAGTTTGGAGCAATTTTGGACAAGTTCGGGGCCCAGAAGACTCGACGCGTCGAAAATTTTCAGAATGTTTGGCGATCGGGACCTGCTGGTCTCGACGCGTCGAGCGAAGGCGCGGAAATTAGAAGCAAAAGGGGCAATTCTTTATTTAAATATAGGAATTATAATTTGAGTCCAATTTTGTACAAGATTCCTATTTCATCTCAACTTTGTACCCACTATAAAATCCCTCCTTCCTCAACCCTAATAAGAAACCGAGAATTCAGAGATTCTTGGAGACAAGAAGGAGAGAAATCAAGAGCCACAAGTTGTCTTGGAAAGCAAGAAGAAGACTAGGGAGATTTGGGAAAATCGTCTGGTTAATTCTTGTACTCTTTTGATGATTTGTAATTCTTTATTTATATTTGCTATGTATAATTTAGTCATGCTTGGCTAAATTCTTTAGAGATTCTTGGGTAAAAGTGTTTATGAAGCTATGTGCCTGAGCTCTCAGTTTCTTTAATATATTATTATTTGGGTTTAATACTTGTGTTGCAATCGTGATAATATTGTTTGATGCTTGTAATTAATGGCCATAGTTACTAGCTTCATAGCCATGTTTGTGTCACCAATGGGAGTTGGGGCATAAATTAGGGTACACACAATTGCACCTAATGGTTGGACCTTGGGAAAGGGGAACTTATTAGGGGAAGTTTATTCTAGATTATTGCTCATCGGGAGATGGTAGTAATTAGGAATAATTGAATGCTGATCTTTGATCTTATTGGATGTTTAAGCCATGGGAGTGGAAATTCACTAGGAATAGAGATTACGGGAGTAATTCGATTCCACTTTGCATTCCCACACAAATCTTAATTCCAAACTAAATATTGCAAACGATAATTTGCACTAGGTGATTAAATACTTGAATCCCATGAATCTCAACTTCTCTCTAATTGTTTTCAAAATCCTGAACCTCTGTTTTATTTTATTTATTTTATGCCAATCAATCATCTAAGTAATTGTTAGGATTAGCTCTAATGAATAAGTTAGTAACTAATGCTTGATACAACCACTTCCCTGTGGATCGATAACTCGTACTCCGAGAATTATTTGTTTGCAAATATACTACGCATCAAGTACAGTAGTGGCAATGGAAATGGGAATGGATCAGGAAAGAGTGTGCCTAAGTGTACCTTTTGTGGGAGGCTTGGTCACACTATTGACAAATGCTATAAGAAACATGGTTTCCCCCCTGGCTGGATCCCAGGATATAAGTCTAGAGCTAGACAGACTTAGGACTCACAACAGACTCATAATTCCCTTGTGAATCAGGTTGGAGATGTAGGTCTCACATCTGAACAATTTCAGAGATTGCTATCTCTATTGCAGAATCAGAATCAAAGGAGTCAGGCCTCAACTAGTGCAACTGTGACTGTTAGCAAAAATAGCCCTTAGAGCTGCATTCTTCATCTGTTGATAGGCTGCACCACTGCATCATGTACTTCATCCTGGTTTCATGTATGATCTGAGCTAGATTATCAATAAGAGCCAATAATATTAGGCCCTTAACTGGAACAAAAAAAAATGTTGGTAGTATTGTTTTTAAAATGAATGGTTAATATTAATTTGATTTTAATATATTTTTAATGATTTTCCTTATTTACCCTCTATTATATTATTTCATTCCCTTAAATAACCCTAAACTCCGTTAGAATAAACTTTAGTAAGACAATATTTCGTTAACTATTTATTATTCTTAACTTACTTATTAATTTTTGTAAGAAATGTCTTATGTTCGAACCTCACCCTAATCAGAGTTGGCATAATTCTAAAACATATACTACACATATGTTAAAGAATACAATATAAAATTTAAAATAAACTTTGGTCAAATAATTAGGCCAACTAAATAAATAACATTCAAAGTTGAGCATCAAAGATTATAAATCAAGAATCTTGCAATCATTTTCTTGTGTTTTTTTAAAAAATGAATTTTGTCACTAGTTTTTCTCTCGCTCTCTTCGCGAGGTTTTTCTTTTCTTCTAGGGTTTGTTAGCCGATAACGAAATTTCCGTTATACCTTTTGATCACGCAAGGCGACGCCGATCTACGGCAGCAATGACGCCGCCAGATATCCAGGCAATGTGTGCAAACCTAACTCTAGCGGACGTCGACGATGATGCGGTCACTATGCAGCTGCCTAATGCCCCGGAAGACCATGCAGATGAGGAGGACGCATATTACGCTGTGGGGAGGCTGGTCACTGACAAACCAATCCGCCTAGCCTATTTCCATGACACAATGGCGGCGGTATGGAGGCCGGTGCTAGGGGTGAATATGCGTGAGTTGGAGCCGCACAAGTATCTGTTTCGGTTTCATCACGAGAAGGATGTTGAAAGAATTGTAGCTGATGGGCCATGGACGTATGAGCAATGTCTGCTAGTGATGAAGAGAGTGCTAGTTGGTCAGGACCCTATGATGGTACCGCTAACACACGCTGAGATTTGGGTCCAAGTCCATGGGCTGCCAACCGGTTTCCGGTCGGAGGTTGTGGTGACAGCTATTGGTGCTTTTCTGGGTTCCTTTGTGAAGACAGATGAGCGTAATTTTGACGACTCGTTGAGGACTTTCTACCGGGTGAGGGTCGGTATTGATGTGGCTAAGCTTATTAAGAAGCAGATGAAGGTTCGGAAGGACGATGGCGGATGGGCGGTCGTGGATTTCCGGTATGAGCGGCTCCCCACCTTCTTCTTCCTCTGTGGGGTAATAGGCCATGGGGAGAAGTATTGTCACAAATACTTGACCACTGATACTACGAGTATGGTCAGGCCTTATGGTTCGTGGTTACGGGCGGGCAGTAGGAGGGGTGTTCCAGGCAATGGGCAGAGGTGGATACCACCGGAATCTGCTGTTGAACGTCGTAAATGGAAGACTGAGGTGCTGGAGGCGATGGGGGGTGAACAACAGGTTGCTGCTGTGAGTGGCCACGGTGAGGGGGAAGGGCTGACTGTTTCTGAACAGAAGAGGCGGCGTACCGAGGACAGTGCAGGTACTCCTACGAATGAGATGGATTGTGACATGTCGGGTTCAAAAAACTTGCCAGCGGCGGGACTTGCGGAGCAAGCCCGCCGAGAGTCATGAATGTGTTAGCTTGGAATTACCGGGGGCTTGGCAACCTATCGGCGATTCGAGTTCTGACGGACCTGGTCCGTGATAAGAGGCCGAAGATACTTTTTCTGATCGAAACTTTTGTAGCAAAGGGGGAGATGGAGCCAATAAGAGTGCAACTGGGGTTTGGTAATATATTAGTGGTGGATGCGGACGGGCACAGTGGGGGGCTGGCGTTACTTTGGGATGGAGCGGTACAGTTGGAGGTTGTGGGATATTCTGCTAATCACATCGATTCCATAGTGGTGTTGGATGAGGGGATGGCGCCGTTCAGGTTCACGGGGTTCTATGGTTATTCAAAAAGGCACCAGAGGCGAGACTCTTGGGCGTTGTTGCGTCAGCTAGCAGGTCATAGCAACCTACCCTGGGTTGTTATGGGTGATTTTAACGACTTGATGGAACAGTCCGAGAAGCGGGGTGGGGTTCCGCACCCAGAGTGGTTGTTAACAGGGTTCCGGGAGGCAGTGGCGGATTGTGGGTTGCAGGATTTCCCGTTTGCGAGATATCAGTTTACATGGCACCGTTCGCGGGGGAGGCCCAATATGGTAGAAGAGAAGTTGGATCGGGTTTTGGTTTCGGACACATTGTTGGAAATGTTTGAAGGGGCGACTGCTACTTCGGTTCCATGCCCTTATAGTGACCACTTACCAATTGTGTTATGCCCTATTGTGATTGAACGCCCATTGCGATGTAAAAGGTTTTGCTTTGACAATATGTGGTTGTGGGAGGATGTGTTCAGGGAGGTGGTGGAACAAAGCTGGAGTAAGACGGTGGGGTTGGATATCCTTCAAAGAATAGAGATGTGTAGTAGAGATGTGGGGAGGTGGGGTCGCACATACAACCAGCAGTTTGCTCCACGGATCTTACGGTGTAAGAATCGGTTAGGAGCGTTACAAGGGCGCCGTGATCAGGTGGGTGTGGCAGAATATGATCGGACGGAGCGGGAGTTGTTAACTCTGTTGGACCAGCAACATACTTATTGGAAGCAGAGAGCGAAGGAGCATTGGTGGAGGGAGGGTGATCAGAATTTGAAGTACTTTCATTGTTCTGTTAAGGCACGACGTCAGCGGAATAAGATTACTAAGTTGATGCGGGAGGATGAGACGTGGGTGGAACAGGCAGATGAGCTTGGATGGATAATGACTGCTTATTTTCAGGAGTTGTTCACTTCAGCTTCGGGAGAGTCTGGGGAGGTGATTAATTGTATTAGTCCCGGAGTGACACAAGCTGATAATGATGGGTTGGTAAGACCGATTACGATGGAGGAAGTTCATGAAGCTGTGAAGTCTATGCATCCTGATAAATCTCCGGGGCCAGATGGTTTTGGCCCGGCTTTTTATCAGCATTTTTGGGGCATGTTGGGAGGGGAAGTTACTATGTTTTGCAGGAATTTCTTTAATACTGCAAAGCTTCCAGTCGGAGTTAATAATACTTTGGTTGTTTTGGTCCCTAAAAAACCAGTACCG